TTTTTTTTTTTTTTTTTTTATTGTTTTCTTGTTCCTGGATTCAATATTTTTCATTTTGAGCCATTCAGTTTTTTCTTTATGTTTTTTCAGCTTTTTCTGCTGATTTTTACACCGTCTTTTCGAGTAATGTGCTTCAATTTCGATTTTAAAATTTTCTTATTTTGATTTCTAAGATTATTGGTTTAGCAAGACTAAACCAGTCTTGCTTTTTGAAGATGTGGTCATTAACTCTTTGCAGGACTCAATTTGCATCCAGTTAATTGGAATACCTTTTTTTATTTCATTTTCTGGTTCCTTTACTGATCTATTTTTCAGCTTTAAAAGTTGCATATTTTCGAGTATGAGGAAACTTTTTTTCCTGCAACTTAAAAGGATCACTTATATGTAATGAATTGCTTTATAATTCGGCGTTAAAGTTCCTAGAGAAAAATCAACTTTCTCGTTTGTTTCGGGGATTTTGTTTTCTAAGTTGGATCTTCTTTCCTTTTTAAACTTTTTATGAAACTCAACTTGCGTTAAAATATGTCAAATTGTAGAAATCAAATGAAGGTTCAACTAACGATGATACATCGATGGTCGAATATGGAAGAATTTCACCTACAACATCATCAGCTGCCTCTCTATCTAACAGTTATTTACAACAACCTTTATCAATAGGTAATTACCTTGACTGAGACCACCATTTGACTGAAACATCCTGAAAATAAGTCGTGAACAGTTAAGAATTGAGAAACTCGATGCAATTGACGGTATTTCATGCTAGTTATTGTTTTTAGAATGTTTTTACGAATTTAAAACATTGAAATTCGTAGTGATAAGTCTTGTTTATTTGCAATAAGAAGATAAAAGGAAGTAAAATTTCCAATTTGTTAACAAGTCATTGTTGGAGAATTATTTCTTGGACTACGAATTGAGTTCTTAACGTTGATCTAACACATTCTTTTCGGTGTAGAATCTGTAGTGATATATAGCACGTTTTTTCGATCTTCAATTCTGACACTTAAACCATTGAATTATATTCTTAATTTATTATCTAATGTAACCTTTCCTTATCTGTGTATTGGTTTTTACACTACAGCGCCTTCTATAAAATCGGTAAAAGTGCAGCAAGCATTATCACCGAAGAACAACAGTAATGATATTAGTGATGAATTTGTGCCGCGCAGTGAATATAATCGCTTAGTTCAGCAGTTCGAAGAATTACTTACAACAATGAATAAGTTTCGGTTGGAAATGTCGCAAAAAGTGTCCATGCTGGAAGCTAAAATCACCAAACAATGAAAGAGTGAGCATTTTGTTTTGCTACTCCTTTCATCTTTTTAATGAATGCTTTAGCATTCATTAAAAAGATATAGACCTCATATAAATTCTGGAACGTTTCTGTTAAATTTGTTTGATTAAGATCTTTTATGTTTTTCAGATGAACTTTTACATTGGTATGGATAGCCTTGGATAATCTGGTGTTCTGGTTTAACTAAAGTGTGCTGTTTGGGCTGCATGCAATTTATTATATTTCTGACTAATTAATAACCATATAGACCTCATATAAATCGCAAAATCTCCTTCTTGCATATTTTGATGAAGCGCTGAAAAGGTTTTTTTTTCTTGGTTTTCCTCACATTTCTGAAATGTTCTGTACGTTTTATTTCGATAAGTCAAAAACATAAATTAATTTTTGGTCGCTTAAGATGACATTTTGTGCCACTTTTTTCAGGAGAAATTTCCAAAATTTTCAATACACTTTCCAATCAT